CCCAAGGGGTCCCAGACTGTGAGAGGGCACAGGTCAGGCTGAGGTACACCCTCCCAACAAGTGCACAAATTTTTGTGCACCAGGCATATAGTATAATTATAATTCTGATTATAACATGCAATTGTTTTGCAGAGAGGCACTGCTTTTTCATGGTTCCAGGCCTTCTTTCTCTGCAGGGTAGTGGAAAATTTGCCTGCAAGCTGTGTGGACAGCTGCTCCATGAAAAGCCTTGGAGTAGCTTTTCCAGGGGAAATGGGCACACACAGGGAGGAGATGGGGCAGTGACTGCTGCCCTTGATCCTCAAGGCCAGGCACTCCCGCCTAGCTGTAGGCAACAGCCCACCTGTTAACACATTCACCTGGCATGTATCTGTTACTAGGTAACATGAAAATTAATTTAACACATCTTACCTTTTCAAGTAAAATACTTACTTGGACTAACAAGTGGCCTGAATTGGGCAAACAGGTACCACATTTATTGGCATTCTCATTTATTTGCTCGATCAAATTCATCAGTATTTCCACAGCACCTTTGCTGATCATTTCATTAAGAAATCCTGGATTTCCAGAAATAAATTTGATAGTCCCCATACAGTATAAGAGAGCTTCAGTGTTAGTTTGCAGGTCTTCACTTCTTAGGACCTCCAATAATGATTCTGTCAAAAAGATGGATTATTACAAATGTATGATTATAACAGCTGGAGAGAGACATAGTAAAGTGTTTGTGAACATCAAAGACAATTTGTAGAATGTTAGTCAGAACCTACAGTCGAATGTTTGTTATGGGTTATTGATAGGTATAAAGAGGAAAGTCTACCTTTAGCTAAATCTTCATAATAGTAAAAACAGAAGGAAGGGATTATAATATATATATATGGCTAAGCGACTGTCTGACCAACCGACCATCCGACTGGCCAGTAGGTATGACGCGCACCGACCGCCAGGGGCAGATGCTCAATGAAGGAGCTGCAGAGCGACAGCAACTTTGCAGAATGCCCTCTTGCACTCCGGGACCCCTTGGGGAATGTCACAGAGCTGGTTTTGGTCAGATCCCTGCAGGCCAGGCTGAGGGACCCCATCTGCCGAAGGGACCCCACTCACTCTGCAGATGCCCTTTGAGCATGGCGCTGCCCCAGGTCTCCGGCCAGGGAGGGACAGCAGGAGGTTGGCTCCAGGGCATGTCCGGGCATCTCGCCCAGTCCCACCCCACCCACCACCTTTTAATTAATTTCCTTTCAGTGTGCATAAATCCGTGCACTGGGCCACTAGTATATAAATAAGAAAGTGTTCTTTGAATGCCATTCCTTGCCTCTTACTTACACTTACTAACTAGCCTTGTTTTTGGTTGCAAATATTTTGAGGTATTAACTTATTATTAAAGCAATTTAAGAGTTACATTTCAACAAACCATTTAAAATATACCAGTTGTTGTATGAATGGGAAATTAATCAAGATAGGATCTTTTAAAAAAATCTCAATCACCATAGAAAGGAATGCTTCAAATATAACACCCACCCTTTCCCAAGACAACTTAAGAACATCCATCCAAAAACATACAATACTAGGTTTTAGAAGTGATCTAAGCAAGCCTGACCGGTTTGTTAGAATCTTTCTCTGTTTTTAGTCTACAATTCTCAATGAGCTGGTTCACTGACATTTCTTCCAGTACTGGGCTTGCCCCTGTTTGCTGGGATTAAAAAAATAGATGAAGACCATTTATCCTATGTTGCAAAAAGAGGACTCAAAGTATTTTCCATGATGCCTTCTTTTAGATCAGCAATACTATTTCATAAAAGACTTCTATTTAGGTAGCTATTAAAGCATCTTAATTATTTAAGGGCATGTCAAGAATTAGACCGTATTAACTAGATAGAGTAAAATTCTCTATCTACATATTTGAAACACATTTGAGACACTTTGATGTCAATTTTCTATAATAGTTACAGATGTCTTCCAAGTTTTAGTCATTCCTACTACATCAAAAGGCTGAAATGTTAATTATATCAATACTATATGAAGTGTGGTGGTTTTTTAAAATAGTAAATCCAAGACCAGGAAATGAATTTTTAAATAGTGAACATTTTGCAAAGTCACATAATGGTACACAAGCATTAAAAAAATAGCAGGCAATCCTTCTAAGCTCCAAAGGATATATTAAATGGAATGTGGAAAACATAGGAAAGAACAGAGTAAAAATAGGTATCACATAACTTCTGATAATACTAGAGAACAAAATACTCTAGCTATCACTAATTGTAACTTTGCTCTCAAGTGCAACATTTGGTCAATGGTAGCACTGAGTGATACTCACCCAGAATGCTATCACTTTGAATCAGAGAATCATTCTTCTCACTCCTGCTAATTTTAAATATGAGTTTGCAGACATTGAGAAGATTCGTTCTACTCACTTTAAGCTGCAGAGAAAGAGAACACATTTCTATTATGGATGGAAATAAAGACATCATACGTTTTTTAACACAAATCTAATTTTAAAGGTTGAGCAAGAGTTGTTTTGTGTGTGTGTTTTTTTTAATCCTCACCCTAGGATTTTTCCATTGATTTTAGCAAGAGTGGAAGAGAGAGGGAAAGACACAGAGAGAGAGATCGACGTGTGAGAAACACATCGATTAGTTGCCTCCTGCAAGTGCCCTGACCAGGGCCCCAGGCCGGGGAGGAGGCTGCAATCGAGGTACGTGCCCTTGACCAGAATCAAACCCGGGACCCCTTGGTCTGCAGGCTGACACTCTATCCACTGAGTCAAACTGGCTAGGGCTCAGCAAAAGTATTTTGAAAACAAAGTAAAGTTCTAAAGAAATCAACTTTTAAAAGTTCTGGCCACATATTTGCCAACCATCTAATATGAACAATATTTAGAATAAGGGCATTTTAATAATAAGCATTTATTTTTACTTGATAAGGTCTCATGCTTATATGTGAGATTACTAGTTACTCTTTAAAGAATATATGAGGAAAAAAGGGGGCATGATGTTGATAAATTTAATTAAGTTGACTAATTGCTTTAAAACACAAAAGTAAAGGAAGATAGATACAGATTTCAGATTAAACTACCTTCGAAAGCACAATGGAGGTGAAAGAAAAGAAGGGGAAGTATGATTCTCTTTATCATTTGTGTAAAATAAAATTAAAAAGTCATTCTCTCGTTAGATAATATATGTATTTATTTTTAAGAGCTATTTCTAGAATGCTTTGAGATAATGACACATAAAGTTCAAAGTTTAAAATTACCTTCCAAATCACACAAAAGTACTCAAGTAACATAGGGGCAATAAGGAAGTATACATTTTTTAAAAACACAGTATAGGAGGACTAACTAAATTAGCTGTGTGTTTATCTAAAATAGTAGAAATTAAAAAGAAAAATCCTAAATGTCCAATATTAAAAAAATCCCAATATTAGGGAAAAATTTAACAAATTGTGGAACATCAATACTAGTCATATTAAGCAGTCATAAAAAGCATAACTGTGAGCACTATGTTTTAAAAGAAAGACACTATAAGCTATCCTAAGATGGAAATATGATGTACCCTCATTGCAAGACTGTAAAATACGTTTGTGGGAATGAGGTCATCTGGACAAATAAGTGTATCTGTGTGAAAAGGATGGGATAGGGGTCATTATTTTATTCTTAAAAAACATATTTTGAATTATCTTTAAATATCATTTATTAAAGAGTTTTCAGTCAGTTTTAAAAAAGATAATGGAATTTGTCATACATATTTTTAGATTTGTTCTGTGTCTGGCCCATAAATATTATTGAGCTCCTAGTGTGTCGCTGGCCCTGCGGTGTTTGCTATAGGAGACACTGTGATGAATTCGGTCAGCCCCATCTGGAGGGGCGGAGGAAGGGAGCGTTACCCTTCTTTCTGCTCCCTGCTCTGGGCCCTTTACCTGCGATCTCAGAGCCAAGCTGCCTATCAGCTGCTGTCATTCCCATTTTGCAGCTGAGGAGTCTGCTCCTCAGACAGGTCATGTCAACTCAGCTTGGCATCGCCTGGCCGTGTGTCAGAAAGGCAGGATCCCAGGCCCACCCAGCAGGGCTGAATCGGCATCTGCATTTTAACAAGCTCCCCGGGGGATCGTGTGCACATTCCGGTCTGAGAAGCCCTGTTGAGTAAGCCTCAGAAACTATTGACAGATCTTGTAACAGAAATCAAGCCCGGCCGGTGTTGGTTGAGCATTGGTCTGTGCACCCAGAGGTGGCCTGTAAGATTCCTGGTCAGGGCACATGCCCAGGTTGAGGCTTGATCCCCGGGGTGGGGGGGCGGAGGGGCATGCTGTGTGTGTGGTGTGTGCAGGAGGCAGCCTATTGATGTTTTTCTCTCTCTCTCCTTCTCCCTTCCCCTCTCTCTAAAATTAATAAAAACATTAAAATACTTTTTAAAAGAAAATATAATGTCCTTAATATTTGGGAATATATTTTAATCTGTCAACAATGTTCTACTACATTGTGAGATTCTGAGGTCAAAATCATGGTGTATTATTCTTTTTATGGTGGTAGGTAGCATGTGTTGTATATGTAATAAAGCTTCTCGAATACAACTAACCTCACCCTACCAGCCAAGTCATAGAATTTTAGTGAAAAGTGGCAAAGTGAAACAAACAAAAAACAGTGTCAGAGTTTTCATTAAAGAAAACAACCAATAACTCACAAGTTCCAAGTCTGCCATTAGGTCAATTTATATTCAAAGCATATTCCTACACCTTCTCTTTTGATAACTGCAAAATTATGACTTTGAGACATGAATAGATAATAAAACATTAAATTACATGCAAGGAATATACGCTACCTTACACGCAACAGCACTCCCCGCCCCAACACTGCCCGTTTCCTGAACTCCAGCTTGTTTTCTTCCCACAGTACCCACCAGCCCCCTCTGGCACGTGGTGTGTTTACCGTCTGTCTCTCCTGCCACAGTGCCAGCCCCGAGGCCAGGGGCTATGTTATTCACTCATATTTCCAGTGTCAAGAGTCCCTGGCACGGACTTGGTTCCTTTAATGGGGTATTTTTCTTATGTTAAAAATAGTAGTCGTTTCTATTTAAAGCAAATTTGGAAAATTAAAGAGAAGCCTAAAAATCACTCATAATACTACCACTGTATATAATCACTGTTGACATACTGGCATTTCTTTTCCGTTTTTCCCCTTTTATAGGGCGCTA